CATTTTTTTTCACTTCCAATCATGCGATCCGGTTAAGTGCCTGCTTCACTCTTCTAAAGCCGATACTAATATGTATTTGTAACAGGGCGTTTTGATCAATGTGCAACTACTCAACTGTGGCCTCTGATCTGGATTTCTGGTTTTGCGACCTGGTGTAGGGATTCTCAGGAAACGGAGACAGGAGGGGACGGAGGAGGAGGCAAGGGCGGAGGTTGTAGGATACGATACTTGTACGGCTTAATGGATATTCAACATGTCACTATCTTGCCTTTATTTGCAGTTCTCGCATTCATATGTAACACGTATTGTTCATTACGTTCGGTTCATTAACATTTATAAAGACGCATAGCTCAGCACACTTCGCACGCTAGGCAAGCAATGTTAATTCTTCAAGCAATTATAGAGCCTGTTTTTTGCTACTTCAATCAGTTGAAGGGACTATGGAAAGTGGCATATCGACTATAAACGTGGTTCAAAGATCTGGCTACTGGAGATAGATCATCTCAAGAGTGGAGCCAGTGAAATAAGCCTATCGGCTCGTCATGTAACAAGTTTTCCTGGACGGCAGAGCCAGAGCCTGCCAATACCGTTGCTCATCTTATGCCGCTTGCAGATTCTGCTCAAGCAAGTGGTATCACACTGTTCTAATGCTGAGATGAAATCTTTCTTGTTCTAGCTCTTCCCTATATGTTTCGTCATCTACGCTTTCCGCCACGCATTAATCTACTCGTACCCTGTGCTGTTGCTGCTGAATACAAACTGTACAAGTTTAGTAAGAAATAAGCAACCATTGATCGAAGGCTCGATCTTTATGGAGTATTGGTCTTGAGGAAAAGAAAGACGTCGAAATGTTATTAATAAGTCAGTAAATGAAGGGCGAAGAACAGACTGCGTTCATTTTTCCCGATATCGACATCAAAATAGAGCTGACGTACAGGCATTAGAGCCTCATATACTTGACCGTTCTACTGATCGCTATCCGAACACTTGTACGTTGTCACACAGCCCCAGATTACTTGCGCTTCGCCTGAATCCGCAAATGCTCCCATGGCATCCCCACCAATACGTACTCGAGCCTTTCATAACTCGAGAAGATTGTTTCTAACAGATAGAATGGCTGTATAGCTGTCTGGAATATCTTGGGTATACAGAGTACGTAAACCTCCATGACAAAGTGCAAGGTGCTTACCTAGGTAGTAAGAAAAGCCTTCACTAACCTTGGAAAGCAAGGAAAGAAGTTGCTCACTAGGAACAACAATGATGACCGAAGGGTCTGCGGAATATCGCTTCTGAATACTGTTGCTGGTTGATAGTGTTTTTGTATCATATGCAGCGTCTAGACTCGCGCTCGTTAGTATGCGTCAAGTTAAGAGACCCACTTTGATAGTATGCAGGAACATACAACGAGTCATTTATCGGGCCGTTCCGAGACTCTGCAATGGTACAAGCTACTATAACTGACGGGATTCGCGGCACTAGAAAAGCGACTATCGCGCCGTTGCGCAAGTTTATTGCGTATGTGTGTGTGTGTGTGTGTGTGTGTGTGTGTGTGAACAACAGATGTTGTTCCCGAGCTCTCTAACGGTGAACACTCGCCGCCCATCAGGAAGGGTGGTGTTTCGCAGACGAATGCAATCGAAACAAATCATTTGGCTGGCGTTAGTATTCCGGCCTGATGTGGCATTTGTGGTTTCTGTGGGAGTATGAGTCTCAATTATCAATTGATGGCAACTACTACTTCCTCGTTCAATGAGTATCGCGAGAGCTCTCGCGAGTGGGGTCTCACTGTCGAGTCATTCCAGGCTTGTGTATACTTTGTCGGACATGTGTAGATTGAGGCGTGCCGAAGCAATGAGTCTGACAGCTTAGCTGAGATTCCCTACAACATCGATAAGGATATTGTTTTAGTGGGTGTAGACCTAGAGTCAAGCATAGTGCAGTTACGGGTTTTTAAACGACACCAGACCTCATGTCTGTCACTAAGTGCCTCGTAACGTGGCGCGGGCCTATTTTAATCATAAAATTAGACAAAAAGCTTCTAATAGTAGGAGATAAGAAAGGGACATTTCACTTGCTCAATAACAGTGTTGTTCATTCAAGGGTTACATTCGTAAAGCCCGGCCCGTGGACTCGTGAGAAATAAGCGTGATGACTAGCGAATAGGTCTAAGTTCGAAAGTTTGCAGAAATTGAAAATTCACTTTTGTCACCAAATGAGCGGTCGCAAAGATTTCCTAGACCATGCAACAGTCGAGTATAGTAGTCGATCCTCGCATCTATATGTATCACGGATCATCCACAGCCTTCTATATCATCAGGATCGTAGCTCAGCAGACTTTGGAATTCGAGCAAGCAATGTTACTTTCTAGTCAAACAACCATAAACTCACTGCAGTCAGAGCTAAAGTATCTGTCGTTTCAAACGAACGACTTACCTTCAAGACAACTCACCTATCATCTAGTAGCATAGCATCACCAATGTTTCAACTTCCCCAATACCTAATATAGTGTGGTTTAACCTAGCTATAGTACTAATTAGGGCAAAGAGATCCGCAGATATTTAATCCTAGCTTGAAAATCTTTGCTTGGAAAAGGAGTCTACCACGCTGTGGGATAAGAATAGAGAAGGGATTCAAAGTTAAAAGAAAGGTCTGCTGCTCGTGAAATGAGCCGAAAGCATAATCGACTCCATACTGCGGGTTGTAAATGGTCATGTTGATAGCGCTTGCTGCCTGCAGCAGAAATGCTGCAACGAGAAGCATCTTCGTAATGAAGTGCGTGCTCATGAATCAATGTCAATGCGATTTACTCGTGATTACCGATTGGCACATTCGGCGCTGTATCCCTTTCTAGACTTTTGACGATGGTCATCTCTATCACTAGACGATCGCTTAGGAACTTCGGCGGCTTAGTACAGCGAGTATTGTTAAGCATAAACGGACCACGTAGAACATTAGCTTGTTATGATGGAGAGATGTGGAGTGGAAGGGTATTGGAGAAATCTTGAGACATGATTTCGCCGCAGGTAGATATACCAGCCGCAGCGCAATTCACATCGGTGCCGAATTAAAAATGTCGATATCAAGCAGAGGAGAAGACGCGCGACGAGAACACAGTGCAGTAACATCAACTGCAAGAGTTGTTCGGTGCGTACCGGGAATTTTCCGGCGGGTTGGAAACAGCAATTGAGGGGTAACGCACGGGTAGCAAAGCTTATGTTCTGCCCCACATTCTGTATAGTTGATATGTATCGTCATTCCGCTAATCCCGAGCACCACATGGTTAGTGCTTAGTTTTTGACTCCACTGCTACATACCGAAAGCATGATAGTGTGAATCAACCACCAAGTATAAAATCTCCAGCTTACGTACACCCTTGCATTCACAATACTCTTTCATGGCACGACCTTTCCTCGCGAGTGCAACATTAACATGTAATTGCCTGACTATTACTTGTATGTTTAGGTACCTTTTATTCTGCTATAAGATGTTAAATACTGGGTCAATGGCGGAAGTCAGTGTGCAAGAAGTCACAAGTCTGACAGACTGCTACGTACGTATCTACTTTGCACGGACCCCAATATTTAGCGCGAAGTATGCCACGAGTTAATATAGCAATCACGCCAGTGATTAGTAGATTGTGTTCATATATTGCTCTTATGTCCAAAGTCCGTTTACTCTTGACTTTGCAGTTGGTACCAGCGGCTTCGTTCCTCTTTTGACAGTCCATCACCAACACCGGTTCCCACGGAAAAGACTATCAATCATGGCGGCCCGCCCCACTCCTTGGCCCGAATTTCATTTTACCACGCTTCCAAACATTCTTCGCTTGCTAGCCTCACAGTACCCAAACATCACTTATGCTGAGTTCCCGCGCAACCCCAACGACATCTCAGAAGGCTACCGCGAATTCACATATTTGGATGTTGCAAATGCCGTCAATACTTTAGCTTGGTGGATCGACAAAAATGTAGGGAGGTTGGAAGAAGGCAACAAGAATGGAAAAGCAACGTTGGTATACATCGGACCAAACGACATACGATATGTGGTACTATCTCTCGCAAGTATAGTCACTGGGTACAAAGTAAGTCGTGTTCTTTTGTACAAGATTCCCAAAAGAAGAAATAAGTGGGTTTTTTTGGTTGGCGCTGACAAGCACTGAAAGATGCTCTTCCCGTCGCCGAGATATGGTGTCGAAGCTCTATTGAAGTTAATTGAAGCTGTGGATGCGAAAGCTATGCTAACCCCCGAGACGCCACTACCCATCGTGACCGAGATTTTTGAAGAAAATAGAGCTGGAAAGCCATGAGATACCAAGTGTTGACCAATGTTTCGCAAGCAAGGTGGACGAGTATCCGTTCATGAAGACGTTTGAGGAGTGCAAAGATGAGGAGATGTTATGTTTGCGTAAGTCGGCCTGACTCTCCAACTTTCCAATTTTCATTCCCAAATCAAATTGCTCATTGGAGAGAAATCACAACCAACAATAGAAAACAGATACGTCTGGCACAACCGGGTTTCCCAAACCAATTCCTTATACACACGACTGGGTAAGCAGCTTTTCGCGCACCACCCGTTTACGCGCCACTCGTGGTTTCAGACGTTCAGACGATGATTTATATAATGCGAGTCGAGGAACCCGAGTATTCGCCGCCTTGCCTCCATTTCATGCTAGCGGCGTCACATTCATGATATTGTTACCTCTCCTCGTCGGCGTGACGCCCATCTATCCACCCGCATACACGACGCCAGAGGGAGCCGTAGATGCCACTCTCTCAGGCCTAGACGTGCTATATGCGGCTCAACAGAGGCATGTTGCAAACAGTGATGCAGCGAAAGAAAAAGTCGAAAGGGTAGTAGACATGGTAGTGATGGTACCACCCTGCGTCGAAAATGTATTCAGATACCCCGGAAAACTGCACAGGTTGAGCCAGCGTGCACATGGTTTGTGCTACGGCGGCGGCAGCATAGTCCGTGAAGCCGGGGACGCAATCTCACACAAGATGAAACTCCTCAACGCGATTGCATCTACGGAACTGGGTCTGTGGCCGCTTATCCGCCCACGCAGCATCGACTACAACACCAACGCCACAGACCAAGAACAGGAAAAGAAAGAAGACTTTTCAGATGGAAAATGGGAGTATTACGCCTTCCACCCCGCATTTAACATCCACTTCGACCCCGTCTCCATCTCGGAATCCGGTCACACCGTCTTCGAAGCCATAATGAAGCGCAACAACGGGAAAGATTGGGACGGCTACGTCCAACCCTGGTTTAAACTCTACCCAGACAGCAGCGAGAAGCGACTCGGCGATCTCTTTATCCAGCATCCCTCCGACACCACATTATATAAACACTACGGTCGCGCAGACGATCTTCTAGTCTTCCTTACGAACGAAAAGTTCTATCCTACCGTGGCAGAGCAGCGCATTGCAGGGTTCCCGGAGGTGGCTGAGGCGCTGCTTGTAGGTACGCGCAGACCGAAAGCGGCGCTTGTGTTGAGATTGGAAGATGGTGGGGTAGTGGATGATGCGCTATGGGGGAAGATTGAAGAAGTCAATGGGAGCTCGCCGGTCTACGCGAGGGTGCAGAGAAACATGGTACTTCTGGTTCAAGAACCCTTTTTAAGAACCGCGAAGGGAAGCGTAAGGAAAGTGGATATGGCTAGGATGTATGAGAGGGAGTTGGATTCTTTATACAGAAGGGGATGTTCGGAAGAGGCGGAAGAGAAAAGGTGAGACGGTGTGAAGCATACATCTAATCCAGTGAAAAGATGTTCATGAAGAAAAATTTGCTTCTCTTGGTTTGAACTTCCTCATACTACCTAAGTATATATACTACCCCTATCTGCCTGTCATTCTCAAAGGCTCTCCAAGACCATGGGCAAGGTAAGGATACCTAGGCATAGGCAAGGCGGCACACCACCATCCTTTCCACTTTCTACGCTACGTATCACCAATCTCCTCAGTTCTATTGCATTTTCATCTTCTATCACTAGCTGCAACAAGCGTGTTGCCCATGATCGGCGCACCGCAGATCTGATTCCCGCTGTTGACGTACTCCGGCACGATGGCCACGGCAATCGTCGCTGCCTGTGCAGCGTTGGAGTCGTAAATTTCAGCACGCACAGCGTTGACTTGGTCTTCAGTGACGGCGCCACTATTGATCAGTGCAGCCAGTACAGCGGTGTCTTCTGCTTGAGAGCAGGTACTTGGCACTTCACTGGCAGAGCCTGAGGAAAAGTGCTGGGCGGAGATGTAGCCTGTAGCGACACCTGTGCCGATGGGGATGATGACGGGCTGCAGGAGGAAGTTCCAGAGGTTTTCTAGGGTGGCCTGGGTACGTGCCGCTTCTATGGCATTGACGACGTACTCTGTCTGGGCTGGGAAGTATATGCTGGCAGCCCAGGGGAGATATACGACGCATTCATACGCGCGTCGACAGAAAGGGAGTAGTTCGGGGACAAGCATAGCGTCAGGTCGTTCGGCGAGGGACACACCTGGGCTGTCATTCTGAGTTCGACCTCGGGGTGCCATATTGGGGTTGGCCATGTAGTACTCCTCAAAATTGAAAGGATAGCTTGCGTTGAAGATCAGGGGCTCATCGTTCATCACTCGAAATGCGGTATCCCATTTGTCCGTAGGCACCCCGGTGAAGGTGCCACGGGCAATCTGCTGCCAGCGGTAGTCCTTGCCGTCTTGCTCAAATACATCGCCGTGCTGGAGCTCGCCCACCGATCGTGCCCTGCGAGGAGCGACTCGTCTATTGCCCGCCGTGCGTGTCCTACGCGAAGCGACTTGCTGTGGACTGCCACCTCCACCGAAAACTCTGACGGCTGAGAAATCGTTCCTGCCGAATCCGACATTGATACAACCCGTGTTACCGGCAGCAACAGGACTAGCAGGGTTGTTTATATCGCAAGTGTCGCCTTCGAAGAAGTACAGCATGTGGTCGAGCTGGTCCCCATCTTGTCGAGTAATGGTGACCGATGAAGAAGCCGTGCTGTATAAATCGTCAGGTACGCAGTTGTCTTCAATTGAGACGTCGAAGCCACCAAGCCGTTCACCGCGACACTGATCGCCTACGTAGAATGTCAAAGAGAAGGCAGCAACCGTATTGGTAAAGGCCAGAAGCGGTGCTACATGCAGGAAGATCATTGTGTCGAAGGCAAGAATTTGTCTGGAGAAGTCGAGTTCGTAGACGTTTGAGATAGAGAGTGGTGTGAGAGTGGATTGAGGATGGGAATGTGTGTCCGATGGATTGCTGGCACTTTGGCTCTTCCTTTATACCTCGTCGCAGGCCCAGTTGCAAGACCTTTCCAGCTGCCGACGGCGCAGGTGCGCTGTATCATCGCGGTCAAGTGATAAAGCACCAAGATATCCTCCAAGATATCAAGACCTCGATCGATGCGCCTTTCCTGTAAGTCGCTCTTGAGTAACATATTTCCGAAACCTCATTGGAGGAAGCACTGCAAGCGAACCGTATTACGCCCCAAATCTGTGGGAAGTGTCTGTTGGATGATCTGTTCAGGTGGTTAATCATGACGAGAATAGAGAAGCCGTGATGTACGAGCATGAAGGAGCGCTCCGGCTTAACCGCGGAACCTGTGAAGGCCAAGCAATCGGCTCAGCAAAAGTGTGCGGATAAAAAGGGCGGGTAAGCACTTGTTGTTGAAAGGATGACTTAAAAACAGCTAGAGTGATGGGGCAGACTCGACTCTGCGTTGTATTGCACAGTAAAGCTTGCTCGCTCCTTCCTAAAGAAAGATCATGCCCGAAAGAAGTTGACGACGGTGCAGTAGGTACTGCACATGGAATGTTATCCTCAGAAACAGCTGCTTGCTGGAGGGGACTTGTTCGTGGGCAGGTCAATAAGGCCACCTTTTTCACTCATCCTACAACCACTAACTTTTAATGGAAAACAAAGTCATCGAGAAAATTGTTTCTTATCAATTCAAGGTCCGGTCTTATCAATGCTGGAGAATTTTAAGAACGAACTATATTCTTCGAGGATCAAACAGCCTTCAGAGTTGACAAGTTTTAGAATTTTAGCAAGGCAATGCATGCGTGGATCTCTAGTGGGATCCTTTGCAAGAGTGCCAAGATAAATTAATTAGCTGTATAGCAAAAGTGGGTCCTTGTTGATCTGCCTGCGAGCAACTCTCTTGCTAGAAGTTTATGTTGACATCGCGTGCAGTGCCGTTCTTCCTCGCCACGCCGGGATAGTAGTTGCATGTGCCTTGGCGCGCCGTACGTTCCGCGCGGATGGCTTGGCATGTATTCTCAAAAGTGGAGAGGCATGACGCAGTGCAGGTGCTGTCAACCGCTTAAAGAGAGCGAGGCTGTCCACTCCCTCAACCGATCTCGTCGTCATTTCGTAACAGCCATGGCGGCCCGAGCCCACGCGGCCAAGCCCACAGGCACGGGCACGCGGAGTGATCTAGAGAACGCAGATCACAACAACAAGCAGGCGGACAGCTTGACATGCGCGTCCAACGACCCTCCACTGCCTTCAGAAAGTGCAACGTCGGTAGAAGTCCGCGCGTTCCTCACGGACGTCCTGTGCACGCAATACGGAGTAGAATCTGAAGCGTCACGCAACATAGCCAGCCTTTGGACGGTCGGTTCGGGGCGCGAGCTACGTACCTATCCAGCACACATGTTTTTCAGCGTCTTTGGAGACCAGGCCGGATGGGTGCTGTACAAAGAGGTCGGTAGCCGGACAACGCGAATGAACATAAAGCAGAATCCCAATTTTGACGCAACAAAGAACCGTGAGTGTCCCGCGCCATTTACGAAGACGGCAAAGTCTGCAGAAAGGAAAGCTAACTTAATATCCAAGGCTCCGTAATCTCTGGGGTGTGTGCGATTGAGGCCATGTTAGCATTTATCTTTATGGTGTTGCCAAGACTTCGATGGATTAGTGGGTTGCTTTTCGCGTTCTGTACGGTAGTGCTTCTTAGCATGATGTTAATCGCAGTCACGGGTACACCAGATCCTAGAAAAGTCCCTGAAGCGAAGTTGAAGGTATCTTACGGAAGGTGGTTTAATAATCTAAAAAGCTAAAGTAATTAGATAAAGAGAGACAATACAGAGTAATGACAGCAGAACCAGAGCTTGTACTCTTCCAGGGTTCGTGCTGTCCAAGTCCTCCGAAGAGACTTTTTCGAAGCGCCGTGTGAGGCTTGTGTAATTCTATACACTTGCAGTAAGACAGAGGTAAAACATTACATAGTTAAACATACTTCACGCCTTCTTTCCTAGTAGTCCTGCCAGATCCCACGAAGCACTTTAGCCAGCGAGACCACCACCATTTTGCACATGAGTGTAAAGGAAGAACAAGCACGATATTCATCTGAGAAAAAGGATATATCGAAAGACATATGCCCTTCTCTTGATTTGAACATGTTGGAACTATAGTGATCCAACTTTTATGTACCCAACACCATCACAAAAGGCATAGAATCAGGAAACTAGATGGTAGATAATTGCGAATAGAGCCCGTGAGCGTGACACTTGGACTTTGGCTAGACAAACAGCTGAGCATCTTGTGTTTTTTTTTTTGGTATCACAGGGTGAAAGAATTCGAGTGAAAAGATGATTGATTCGGCTTGAGATGGTACCCAGACTGTGTGCATAAGACTTGTAGAGCCACGTCATCCTCCACTCTATAATTTGGGGTGTTTGAGTGTCAGAAAAACCACAGTGATATCCGTGGCAACTTCCCATCTAGATGTTGTTAAATAATGAATGACAATTTGTAGAAGGAAGCTTACAGTCTGAAGATCATCTGTTGGAACACCTGCCCAAAACCTTACTTAGGGCAACCAATACCCAATCCAGTGCTCATAGAACAGCAGTCCGCGTCGCAAGTTTTCAAAATCTCAGCATTGCAGAAATCTCCGTCTGCAAAGCCATTTCCTTGATCGTGTCGTGCCTTGTCGTCGCGGAGGCAGCAATCCTCAAGGAATTTTTTCACATCGCACCAAGCCGACGTAGTCGTGGCAAAGAAGCTAAGAGCAGTGATAGCAACAGACAAGATAGTAGTTGAACGCATGTTGAGGCGGTGAGCAAGGATATAAAGAAGTTTGACTTGTGTTTGTGTTGGAAATTTGAGAGAGGATAGAATTGAGTGATGATGATAGTATGCATTGGAAAGACAACATGTCTTTATATAATTGACAAAGACTTGGTAGTCCCTTGGCCATTGAAGGCGTCCTCAAGTAGTACGGTCAAATATGCCTGTCGTTTGTTGTCGATTCTTCTCAGGTTGAGATAGCAGAAGTGGTGCACGACCATGGGCTTCTTCGCCGATCACTATGGCTTGGTCTTTGTGAGCTTGGCTCTCGGTCCAGCTTCTCCAGCCTAACAAGTACCTGTGCTGAAGCTGTCTGACTTTGTACCCTTCGGTGCAACTCACATGGACCTTTTTTCAAAAGATTAGAAACAGATGCTAGACTAGACTGCACAACCATCAAGGGTCTCAGCCTCCTAGATTACTAAACGATATCCTCGACTTGATAACACTCTTACTGCCTTATCCTCTGTACGCAGGTGACCTATGCTATTGAAGCGCCATAGCGCAGTCGTGTCGTAGCAAGATCGGGACGTTGACAGTCGAGCTGCACTGTATCGTTTTGCGTAATGCGCATGTTCAATCGTTTTGCCGATAATGTTTGCGCATAGACGGTGCGCCAGTATCACAAAGTCATCAAGAACGTTCTATCCCTGTCACTGCAATGGCCAAGAATTTAGCAGCCAAAAAGGGCAATAGACGAAGACGCTCTTTTGCTGAGAGAGAACACATAACGTGCATAGCAGCAGACCCTACTCACGTAGTCGTTCAGTGATGCAACGAAATAAGGATATGCGTTGATAAGGCCGTAGTAACCTGGTTGCACCGTTGGGGCACGTGTCCCTGTATCGGGCCAACGGCGTTACCTCCTATGTTTATCTATGTCTATTCCGCCACTCGACTCGAGGTGTACGAGCGCACATAGGATGCTGCTTTAGTCCTAGTATCTACGGGTCCGGCGAGAGCAACATCGACACGTCAGGGCAACAGAAACAGATTGTCGGCAACGAGTGAAAGCGAGACTTGGATTCCAGTAGGCCGGGTCCGGCGGTGAAGAAAGAGGTCCGTCTAAGCCTGTCGCTTCGGGCGGTATACCGTCCGACCTATATCCATGGGCAAGATGGCCGGAGATGCGACCGTGAAGATGTACAGTACAGGAGATGGAAAAGGAAAGCCCTTTACGAGACGGAGTTGAGCACGTCTAGAGACGCGGTTGAGCGAAAACGTGCCAGCCCTTCCGTTGCCCCGCGCTAACGCCAGTGGGGAAATCTAGCGGCTGTCAAAATCTCCAACACCACCGATCATGACCTTTCAATGGTCTCAAACGCCCTGCGCAACGCATCCTGCAGCTCAATCCTCCAATCCAGTTGTTCCTGCATGCCGAACGGTTTGCCGACTTGAGTTAAAACCTGTCTCTCAGCGGCTGCTTGGCTTTGCCCCTGCGTGCGTCTCATGATCAAGTACCAGCTTTCAGGTCCGACACATAGTATACAAATATCCTAGCTGTTGCACTTCCAGTCACTTTCGAGTTCATGAATCCCTGGTCTATTGATAGAAAACCCTATGCTCACTAGCACCGATGCCAAGACCTTTCGCTTCCGCGTCTAACCCCAGCAGTCCGCGTTCTTGACACGATGGACTCAAACATGGCGTCTTTGATGGACCTTGTGTCCCAGAACCAACCACGATTCCAGACCCACCAAGCGCTTCTCATCATTGGCCTGCAAAACGACTTTGTGACATCAGATGGACGACTTCCAGTTGACACTCAAACGCGTTTTCTAGAGCGCATCAAGACCTTGATTCCGATATTTCGGGAGCGCAGCGGCAACGTAATATGGGTTCAAACGCTGTTTGAAGCGGACCGCATTGCGACCGGCGCCGATACAGGTGAAGGCGACACGCTCGTTGTAGGCGGGCTTGTCGATGGTGACGAGAAGGACAATGACGCGGCGGAGGAAGAACTGGCCAAAGAAGCAGCGTCACTACCAGCGCAATCCAGATCTTCAAAGCACAAGCAACGCGCGATAGACCTGCTGAAACGTGTGTCCGCGCGAAGGAAGACGTTGCCAAAAGAAGTTGCAAAAGCCAAGGCTGAGGAAGACGAGGAATTATTCTTGTTGAGGAGCGAGAAGAGGACGCCGGCATGCGTACCAGACACGCACGGCGCCGAGTTTGCGGATGTCATTGCGAACCAGGTTGAGTTATCGACGGATGTCGTGATTCGAACGACCAACTACTCTGCGTTCCAAGGTACCAACTTGCTCATAACGTTGCGCGCAAGGCTTATCACGGAGCTTTTCATTGTGGGATGCATCACCAATGTGTCTGTACTGGCGACGGTTATTGATGCTGCGCGCCATGGTGTGAAGATTCATGTTGTTGAGGATTGTCTCGGCTACCGAAAGGATAATCGACATGATTTGGCCCTGAAGCGCATGGAAGACTTCTTCAGCGCTTTTCTGGTTAATAGTGAGGAGATACTCAAGGAAGAACCGCAATTGATTGTGCAAAAGACGGCGGTGCCTGCGAAAGGCGCAAAAGGCGGCGAGAATAATAGTGATACGAACGTGGAGGAGATGATGGCTAAAATGTCTCTTGCAACATCCATAATAGCGAAACGGACCGCGGCAAGGACTGCGGAAGAGTCTAGCGCCGGGGGAACAGTAGATCCTAGCGACAAGGAGTTTTCAGATATACTCACAAAGGGAGCAACGGTACCCGGCGCACAGGAAGAGGCGAAGAAACCGGAGCTTGTCAAGACGAAGATCCGCATGAGGACGGGAAAATCCAGGAAAAAGAAAAAGAAAACGAAGGAAGGAGAGGAACCAAAAGGTGACGATGGAGATGTGGATGGCAAGCCTGGCACGTCTACAGACCAAGGTACGAAAGATACACCACCAACCACAACGTCGCCTACAATCATACCTCCACCTGCATCAACCGAATCTCAACGAACTTCAAAGGTTGCGAAAGCTGGAAGTGTTGCAGACTTGCGGCAGAAAGAAGGGAAGCAGCACATATTGAAGAACGCTACTTCGGTCCCTATGCTATCTACCAAAGCTGATGGCGAGGAGACGGAGAAGAACAGGTTATCAGATTTCTCGGATCGCGTCCGCATGTCATTTACTAGGGCGGCAAAGTCTGAATCAGAGTCTGAGTCGAAAAGAGGATCTACCAGTTCTGCAAATGCAGCCTCTACCAATGTGAAGCAAGACGATAAACAACCGACGTCAAAACTCCCACAGCGAGAGCAGTCTCATGCGGTCACACAAGAAATCGATCCTCCATCATCAGGAAAAGCCACTACGATGCGACAATCACGCAAGTTGCAATCCCTCGCAACTTTCCCAGTCCTGGGACCTGGAGATCACATTGCAGAAGGTGATTCGCGCATCATGCACAATTTCTTCTCTGCCGACTACGTCCACTTATCTGCTCCATCGAAGCCACTGAAAGACGTCATATTCACCCAACTTTACAACGAAGTGCCATGGCAGAAGATGCTCCACCAGCAAGGCGAAGTCCCCCGACTCGTATGCTGTCAGGGCGCCTTTGGCGATGACGGCTCAATGCCGATATACCGGCATCCATCCGACCAAAGCCTACCGCTCCTACGATTTTCACCCAAAGTACAGCTCATTCGAAAGCACGCTGAGAAACTCGTTGGCCACCCCCTCAACCACGTGTTAATCCAACTCTACCGTTCCGGCAACGACTTCATATCCGAGCATTCTGACAAGACACTCGATATAGTAAAAGGCTCTTCAATTGTCAATGTAAGCTTCGGCTCGCAACGGACGATGCGCTTACGCACCAAGAAGGCTCAGTCGGCAGAGCAGCAAGAAGAAGAAGAAGACGAACATTTGGACAGTGACACTATCACACAGCGCAGAACCCAACACGTAGTCCTTCCCCATAATTCCATGTTCGTTCTCGGCCTCGCTTCAAACGCAAAGTGGCTCCACGGCATCCAACCCGACAAACGGCCTCTAAACGAACGCACCGAAAGCGAAACAGCCTACAACGGTATCCGCATCAGTCTAACATTCCGACACATTGGCACCTTCCTCGATGCACGCGAAACAGTCATCTGGGGCCAGGGCGCAAGCGCAAAGACGCAACGCGACGCCGCCGACATCATTTCCAACGACGAGGCCGAAACCGTCCGCCTCATCACTGCTTTCAGCCGCGAAAACCACGATCCGGATTTCAACTGGGAGGAACATTACGGTGACGGATCTGACGTTTTGCACTTGCACGCGCCGCCGCCGTCGTCGTCCGCCAATGTCCCCCTGCTGTTCCTGAGCAACAACGCCATTCAAAACAACCAAGTCATGATTCTCCTCGCAGAAAAGAAGCTTGCCTACACGGCCATTGAAGCGCCGTCTCTAGACCCGGCGTTTGAAGCAGACCGCCAAGTCACGCTCAGGGATACCGATGCCATGCATACTGAAGTCCACAGTGCGTCTTCCATACTGCTTTATCTGGATCGGTATCACCCGCTTGATACATCAGCGTCCTCGCATTGCGTGACTGCGAATGCGTATCCTATCATGTTACTCATGGCCAGCATAGTGAAAGCTTGGCCGGATCGAGGGAGGCTGGAGTCTGGTGATGAAGTTGAGAATCTGGTGGGTCGGTTGGAGGAGATGGTTGAGGGGAATGGGGGTCCGTTTGTTGCTGGGAGTAGGTTTAGTATTGCGGATGCGTTTGTTTGGCCGGTTGTGCATGTACTGATTGGAGAGTGGGATGGATGGAAGGAAGGGGGTGGAGGGTTTGAGAAGCTGGGAGAGTGGTATAGGGCGTGTTGGAGGAAGAAGGCGAGTATCAAGAAGGTGGTTGGTGCATTGGCTGCTCCGAATGAGAAGGACGAGGAAGAAAAGTAGGTGTAGTGAGGCGCTAGGGATGTGGATGCGGTTCATTTCTGGGATCAGGAGCGTTTTGGATAAAAAGCGTGATCATTGGGTTTGGGCAGAAATCAGATGTTGTGAGCTTTCATTAGTACATCTTTCTTGATGTTCTTGATCCTATTCGTTTCGTTATCTTATACAACCGCTATCGCTTACCTTTTCCTCCAATAATCCCAATACCTCTGATGAAGAAGATCACAATAAAGGTAGTGGCAACGCTCATGCCGAAGTTGAACCAAGCCGTCGTCCTGATCCCAACTTTAAGCGCATCATCCCAAGGCTCCGTCTTGTGTCCCTCAGTACCAATCTGATCCACGTTCAGACCCTTTTCCCTAGCCACAACAGCCGTCTGCACCGCCGTCGCAATCGCAAGACCGATAGCGCGACCGATTTGACCAACAGCAGTAATAAGCGCACCACCCAACGACGCATCTTCAGCCGGCAGCGTCTTGGCCACAAACAAAGTAAGCACCGGGAAAATCGTGTCCGCGCCCGAGACGCACAGCACCATGGCCGGAAACCCATACGCCCAGTACGTGGTATCGACTGGGATCGGAATCGCAAAGAGCAGCGAGGAGATGCTGACACAGATGGTGCTAAAAGTAAGGATATAATCCCCAGGCACCCTCGACAAGATCTGTCCCGTAATCGTTGCAACCAATATCCCCGTGATGCCATTGGGCAAGAACCTCAGCGTCGTCTGAATGACGCTATGGCCCTGGTAGTCCTGGAACCAATACGTAGCGAAGATGAGGTAATTATTGAAGCTAGAAAAGAAGAGCGCCATGAGCACATTCGCAGCCGTAAACTTGCCATTTTTGAATATGCTCATCTTCATCAAGGGCCGCTTCGCCGTCTTGGTTTCGAGGTAGTGCTGCCAGAAGCCGAATGCGATGATGACAATGAGGGCAACGACGATGAGGACAGGGACCCATGGAGTGCGCCAGCCCACGACGTTGCCTTCGGAGAGGGCAAAGACGAGCATGACGAGCCCGATTGTGATGAGTGAGCCGCCGAGCCAGTCGACCGTGTTGCGCATGACGGGCTGCTGCTCTTCTTTGAGCGCGAGCGGAATAGGAATGACAAAGTAACTTGCCACGGTGGAGACACCAGCTATGATACCAAATAGCCAGAAAACCCATTGCCAGTCGAGATACTCGCCCACAACACCACCAAAGATGTTGCCAAAGACGCCGCCAAGCGGTGCTCCGGCGCCGAAACAGCCAAAAGCCACGTCCTTTGTCTTCCCAGGCGCGAACGTAGAAGCCAGTATGCCGAGCGCAGTCGGTGCCATGGCGGCGGCAGCGAGACCCTGGAGTCCGCGGAAGATGTCAAACCCGATTTCGTTGGGGATGAATGGTGTGATGATGGACGTGAGCGTGAAGGCGGCAGAGCCCCAAAGGAAGATCATGCGTCGTCCGTACACGTCTGCTAGACGGCCCCATAGAAGGAGGAAACAGCCGAAAGTGAGGTTGTAAGCGGAAATGATCCATTGTTGGCGACTGACTGGTATGTCTAGTTCTTCGCCGATGGTGGGCAGAATTATGACCGATGCTTGGACTGCCATGGTCTATTGGGAATGTTGCGTCAGCTCATGTCGTCTTCTTCTTAATGCTATTTAGAAAACATTGTAGGACGGGGAGTTTGTTGTTGCTTACACTCAAAAATGGTGCTGCAGCGATTGTTGTGACGAGTGCCACACATCGTGCTTTTGAAAAGGGCAAGCGTTCAGATGCCGTCGTGGAAACAGCCTCAAGTGCTGTACCCGGTAACGCATCTTTCTCGCCATCAGCAGCAGCAGCAGATTCTTGCGGTGCCGCGGTAGCTACTCGCTCCAAATCCGTTACGCCTTCAATAGGCAGGACAGAACCTTTCTCACCAGACTTGGCCATTGCAGTCAAAGAGTCTGGAGACGGCCAAACAATTGTACCCCACAATGCTCCCCGTGGGGAGGCGGCGCATTCTTATGACTGCTCGTGAAGTTGGGGTGGAGTACGAATGCCGAGACGGGATCGCTTGCCGACCACACGGCTAAGGATTCTTCCGTTGCATGCGGAAAAGCGGTATATCATTGCGTGCTTCCCAACGTCGCAGTAGGCAACTGCATAGCGGCAATCTCAGCTTTTTTTTTGCCATATGTGCTTGTGATGGCATCTGTCACGTAATCTAGAAGACAGCTACAACATCATCTCCTTCAACGAACCAAGTCCTCGCCATCCAGCGGAATATGAAGCTTGCGAGGCTAAAACTTGTATAATATGCTTCGGAAAAGGTAGCCATGGCAGTACAAAAGTTATTCACAAAGAAAAAAAAACGTATGCTGCGTAAGAAGTTGGATGGATGGATGAAGATGCGAGGAATGCTTTCCACCAATTGCAGCGAAGACATAATCACGCGACCTACAGGCCCATTATCAAGAGCAAAACAAGCAACAGTGCGCCTCCTCTGAGACCTCTCCACCACTACCTACTGTTCACAGGTAGATAGACAAACACCACAAAACTCCAACGGCTGTATACAAGGATGAATGCGTTGTTCAAAACATCAGGATAGAAAATTCATTGCTCATGCTATTACCGCAGCAAGTACGTGATATAAATCCGAACTATCTCTTGCCCGCCATCGCCAGCCATCAAGCAGCTGGAAGGCACCATCATCCATGTCATCCGTCATCAAACAAACGATCTAATTGCGTTTAAAAAAAACTAAAAGGGGGTATGAAGAAGAAGACGTAGCCCAACCCAAGCCCCGTCTACGGCTTGTGGACATCAATAACCATCTCCGTCTCGACGACCTCGGCCTTCTTGGCAAACCTGGCGACATCGGCACCCTCAACCTTTCCGTACATGGTCTCGGCGATTATACCAGTAATCTGGTATGGGTCACCATTGGAAGCCGGGCGGCGGTCCTCAAAGTATCCCTTACCCTCGGCAGCAACAGCGCGGGGGATACGGACAGAGGAACCACGGTTCGCGACGCCCCAGGTGAACTTGTCGTAAGAAGCCGTCTCGTGCTTACCCGTCATACGGAGCTGGTTGTCGGAACCGTAAACGGCCATGTGCTCAGCCTGGCGGGTGGACAGCTTCTCCATGGCGGCTTCAATGGCCTTCATGCCGCCATCGGCACGAGTCTCGTTGGTGGACACGTTGGTGTGCAGACCGGCGCCGTTCCAGTCACCGGGAATGGGTTTCGGGGCAAAAGTAACCTTGGCACCGAATTCCTCGGCCACACGGTGCAGCAGGAAACGAGACATCCAGAGCTGGTCGCCGAGAGAGATGCCGGGGCAGGGACCGACTTGGTACTCCCACTGTGCGGGCATGACTTCGGCGTTGGTGCCTGAGATGGCAATCTCGGCGTACATGCAGGCCTTGTAGTGCGCCTCGACAATGTCGCGGCAGAAGACCTTGCCAGTGCCCACACCGCAGTAGTAGGGACCTTGGGGAGCAGGGAAGCCGTTCTTGGGCCAGCCGTAGGGCCAGCCAAACTCGTCGAGCAGCGTGTATTCTTGCTCGAGGCCGAACCAGAAGCCGTGCTCGGCGTGCTTGTCGAATATTATGGCCGCGTCGTGGCGGAAGTTGTATGCGTTGGGCGAACCGTCCGACATGTACGTCTCGCACATGACGAGGACGTTGTCGCCCAGACGGAAGGGGTCAGGGTAGTATGCGACGGGGCGGAGGTAGACGTCGGAGTTGTCGCCGGGCGCCTGGCCCGTTGATGAACCGTCAAAGTTCCATTCTGGGAGCTCGTCGAGCGACTCGACCTTCTTCTTGAGTGTCTAGCAGGCCATGTCAGTATGCTTGTCGAGGGGGAAGGGGAGGCGAGGTGCCTCGGGTAATCGGAATGGGAAACGACGTCACGGGTGGGTGGGCATGCGGAAGGGACCTGCATGGTGGGGTTGAGCGGCTCGCGATAAAGATAAGGAACGCCCAAACTTTCCCACCCGGCAGAAGGGAGCGATTGGCGCCATGGCGTCACACTCCAACTTCCCCAGTAGATCGAGCGCAACCCCCCATCGTCTGGATTGTGTGTATCGCGAGCCCGTGTCACCGCGCATCGCAGCCAGTTGTTTCTCTTGCATTTAAAATACTCCAGTTTGCAACTGACTGCTTCGCCGGAATAGTGTGTAGGAATCGGGGATCGGAACCGCAAAGCTGGAATCAAGCTCACCTTTGACTTTGAGCGGATGCCGTTGGAACCATCTATCCAGACGTACTCGGCCATGACTGCACCCTTTTGGGGCAGGTCAAGGTACTTCTTGAGCTGTTTGTTGCATTAGCAGGTTGCTGGGCACGCGAGCAGGTAGAAACTCACGTTGGCAGCATTGCTAACAATCGTTGAGTTGGCCATGACTGCGGTATGTGTGTGTGTGTGTGGTTTTTTTGGTGGTTGTGAGGGGGAAGAAGGAGGAGCAATTACTGTCAACCAAGACAAGGTAATAGAGGGGTTATAAGTGGACGAGGTCTTCAAAGTGAAGTGGGGAGTTTGAATGAGAGATAAGGATAGCGGGCCAGGGCGTTCAGTTATAAGGTAAATGTCTCGTCGGCAGCGATTGACCTGTCCTGACTGTCTCGGCCTGTGGCGGGGCTAGCCGTGCTCAGATACATAATTAGGCTGGCCGTAGCCAAGAGGCGTCGCCGAACTGTTTCCGTGGGATGGGAGAAGCAAGCAATCAACCTTCTCTAAACGCGCGACTTTTACGCCGCATCCTGGCATTATCTTCTTGCCCACTCTGCAAGTAACTTTAGTTCTAGTCTAGAAGATACCCGCCCGTCTGGACACGTCTTGTCTGCCCAATCTCGCAGCCCTCATTTCAAAGATGTCTTTGCAAAAAAAAGACCCACGCTGTCCTCAGGTAATGTCACGATGCGCAACAGAGCTGACCGACGGGGTACACGACGCACAGACCCGCACAGCCTCAAGCACCGCACTGACTTTCCCACTTCCGAGTTTGAGCGATTTGACGCTGGGTAGCGTCGCCTGTAACGTGTAGCTAAATTTACCCAATTACGGTTATTACCCAATTCCTACCAGATTCGTCCACTTGGCCGCCCCCGTACACCGCTCCACTGCTACTGCTACTGCTCCCTAACTCAGCGACCGACTATTGCCCTTCGTATGCATTGTGTACTCTATGCCCAACACGAGCTGCGTAATCCCTGGGACCCTGAATGCACAGTGACCTTTTACGCACACGTCTCGCGACACCTGCAGCGTAGTGCATACAACCGTGGTTCTGGGCAGGGCGCCGTTGCCCGGGGTTGAAGGAGTCGGGGGCGATAAGGGCTGTGTGGGCCAATCGCAGCGGTTCCAGTTAGTCTCGTTCTCGCCTGCCGTCGTCATAGCAGCATCACTCAACAGCGCTCGCCCGTCGGAAGAGACGTGAATAAGTCTCGGATGCTAGTTAACTTGACTACAAGAAACGTTGTCGCAGCCGGTGCGCCCGACTTGTTCACTTGTTGTATGGGACTCGAGGACGTGCGTTTGTTCTGGAAGGCCGCTGGAAGAAAGTCTCTGTCGCGCCTGCTGTGGTACACAATACGGCTAACAGAGAATCCCATGTTGACCCCACAGGTTTCCTAGCCTGGGCGTCGGCAGAGCAACACATGTGTACACAGCGCGCGCGCGCGCACGCGGGCGGGCCTATCAACATTCAAATCGCACGAATCCGCGTCTCCGAAATCATAATCTGAACTCTGAATCGACTGAACCCCACGATTCTTACCAACCCACCACGGTCTCGACATTTCCCAGCACCTAACACAGGCAAAAAAGCCGCACTGCGACGTCGGCTCAACATTATCGTGCGTCGACGTTGGGCTTAGTGGGGTATGCGGGCGAGCCGTCGATCCGCTAAGTAGGGCGTGCACCCCTGGTGCCAGAGATAAGGGACAAAGTCCAAATTCCGCCTTACGTTAGTCTATCAAGTAACGCCGGCGGCGCATTGTGTCATGCTGGACGGTGCGAGCAGTCGCAACGCATTTCCTTCACCATGGACAAGAATTCATGAATACAAATGTGAAACAACGATGCCAAAAAGTTACATGTATCAGCTTTGACTTTGACGGATATGTGAAGATCTGTGGCGGTGTCATGTCCGGCTTGGGCCAAGGCTGAGGCTCGCTGCGCTACTCGTAATGCTGGAACGGAAAACGGTCGACAATGCTTGTTATTTCCCCAGAGATTGCTGATCAAACAGCGAGAGCCTCGTCTGCATGGTTCATGCAGTCAGTCGTCCAAGTGGGAGGGATGGGCGGTGCTGGAGGGTGCTAACACGTGCGACCTACACTGATCAGGACGCGACAGCAATACGAAGGGCGAGCTGTCTACAGACACAGAGCGACGAAGAGGAGAGGGAGATGCGAGACAGCTATCAGACGTCTCTGACGTTGTTCTGCTCTCACTAATGCGCACATCAGCGGATGGTCCCATCTGCCACACCACACTGACCAGTAGGTCGCGCATACCCAGCAAGCGCACAGAAGCAAAGTCCCTGCACGTCCCCTCTGGTGCGGACCGGAGCGACATAATGACCTGCAGCGCAATATCATGGTGGTGGGGTGGCAACGGACGGGTGTACCTGCAGAAGAGAGTCCGGAAAAGGCGCCAGTGCCATGCCAAAACCTTCCCCCGTTTCGTTCCGAGCGTTGAGTCCATGCTACGGGCGCCAACTCCGGAGGCCTAGCTTCTCGGAGGTCGGCGGTGTGAAAATCTGGGGTAGATGGGGCTGGAGCCAGAGAGGGATGGTGTTGTGGAGGAGGCTGCGCACTGAACTCGCAGCAGTTAGTCAGCATACCTCACAGGTTGTTTCAACGTCGTGCGCCTGCCAGAGCGAGCTTGCCGTCTCGCCATCCCAAGGACATTGAGAGTAATGAAGACGTAGTTGTCGGTGCTTCGTGGTTTATCGTGTCGACGTCCGCTGGTCGACCAGGAGTATTGCCGATAATCCCACGGGGAATTGACAATTGATCCCTTGGCCTTCGACGGCGAAAGGAGCCTTATTGTAGCTTCGGCTCGGATGCGTTAGAGTCGTTGAAGAGCTGGCTTTAGGTACTTCGTGGTCCGTAGGCAACATCGAGCCGACCAATCAGGGCAACTTCCAACTCAACAACTGTGAACTGCCAGTTGCGCAGCACTTTAGCAATCAAAAAAAAATCCGAAACGGCATCGTCGTCGTCCTTTCTAACGTATCTTCTCATTGGTTTTACCATTTATCGTTGTCCTACCGCAATCGCGATGTCGCGGGGCGGAATGGCAAGAGCCAAGCCAAACGTGGCTCAGCTGGGAGCGCCAAACATCGGAGCGAGATACCCGGATTGCTCCCATGTCGTTCAACTTCAACATGTCGCCTCCGGTGCAACAATGAAGAGACAGAAGTACTGTTTGTGTGTTTGCGCACAACACCAATATAATCGCGTCTGCAACAGGTCAGTCATCTGTGCAACAACTAAAGCACATCGGAAACTCCAGTGGGACTTCCAAAGCGATCGTCCAGGAAGGGCATGCTACTTGCGGGACATCGAAACATGTGCTACATCTCCCACGTGTACCACCAGCCCTGCTGCCATTGGGGTCGTGATCGCTTCGTAGGCGAGCCATGTTGCCGGTCGAAATGTGTCAGCGGTCATGTCGTGGCATGTACATATGCTGAGTGTTTAGGTTCAAGCAATAGCAGTGAGCTCTGTTCCGAATGTCGGTATCGTCTGGCATATGGATCGACGTGGCGACCACTCGCCGACGTTGGGACAATGCTAAAAGGGAGATTGAAAGAGAGGCTGGAGTAGGAGACGTGGGAGTGAAGCAAAGGCTTATACCTGACACATAACGACATCCGAAGCGGTTAGGGATTGGAACGAAAGAGCTCTTTGCGTACGCCGGCAGACGATTTTGTGGCTAGGCCAGGCGCCTTCCTGTTCGGTATCATCATCCGATGGAAGCGCAGGATATCAACGATCAGGAAAGATTTTTTGACAGGCGAAGGATTCCTGACAGCACGATGCAATCAGTTCTAGAAAGAAGCTTTCAATGGCATGTTGTTATGATTAGGTTGCGAAAGATGAGGGGAGGGAGCTTGGGCTACCATTGCAGCTTCTCTCATTGGCTACAGCGTACGTAACAGCAACCGCAACCACGATGCTCTTGCCTCGTGGGCATAGCGACGTGTTAATATCAATCCAGTGCCACAAACATGGGACCTGCTACATGTCAAACTTGGGATGATTTCCCCTGCAGTAAGACGCAAACGTGACGGTGGCGTTTTATGTTTCCGTTGACGGGAAGCAGAAGTAGTAGTGCAGCCACAGCCATCAGTGGCGCAGACGAGTTCGCTGCAAAGCTTTCCAATCTCGACGGGACTCTCCCGATCGCAGACCATACTTGCTAGGCCATCATATTGCTGTACGAGCTTGGCAGGCATTGGAGTTTGATTTGTGTCGTGTGTTTGTGTCGATGAGGAGTGTCAAATAGCGCAGCCACAGTGAGCTTAGCAACAGTAGCGCAGACAAGATAGCTGCACCGCATTGCGATGCCTACTTACATCTCCCGATCTCTGAATTATACTTGCTGTTCCGATCATGGTTTTATGTCAGACTGAGAAGTAGTGATTGAAAATGGCTTTTACTATCAAGACTTGATTTGTACAAACGCAACCACAGCCATCATAGCAGCGGTGGCTATGAGAGAGCATCGGCATATCATTGCGAAGCTTGCACAGTTGTACCTGATATATACTATGCATCTACCCGTGGCCGTGTCCTTGTACCGACTTGTCGTGGGGAGAATTATCCACGATGCCAAAATCTCCAAAGCGAAAAGTCAAGTTCATGGGACAACCGTTCACGAGACCAACCCCTGAGATTAGCGAAAGCCATGCACTAACACCAACTCGTCGGGAACCACACAGCTGGGACGGATCCTCCGGGGAATTAACACTATTGTGTATGGCTGTCGCAGTGTGACACTCACCCCGAAAACACCACGATGGCTTTTGGTAGCACGAAAATGCGAGTCGAGAAACAGGGCAGCTACATGGTGAAGCACAGCGGAGATTATCGTGCGCAACGACGTTTCTAGGGCTCGATTCAATGGTGCGACGACTCCACCAGCACGACTTACTATGCAACTCGAGTGCAAGACAGTGCTCTGGTAGTCATGGTATGGCGGCGCAACATGCAGTTGCAGATGCTATGTTAGCTGAAAGTTTGTTTGTCTCTCTTTCTTGATGGCAATAGTAATAGACGAGGCGAAGTGCTGTAGTAGTTCGGTGAGGTGTCTCCACATGACGAGCTGAGTGCAGCTAGTCCAGGGCAACATTGCAGGACTAGAATCCAAAGATCGCCGCTGGGATACCTCACACAACGCCGTAACAACCCCGATTCTGGCCTGACACTCTTGCAATCTCCCTTTGCCGATGCTTTTGCCCACCTCTCTTTCTCTCTTGTTGTAATTGGAGATCATCGCTTTCTCTCTTGTTGTAGTTCGAGATCCAGCATTGATGATATCTCAAGTCACTCCTTAGCCTGCCGCTTCGCTTTTTATTCATTCAGGGTGCGATACCCCGACCGACCAGTATCGACATTGTCCCACGCATGCAGCAGACGGCTCTCGTACGCGATGCATAGACACGCCGTGTCCGAGACGGCCGGAATGGTGTCGTCGCGCTCGAGCAGGAGCCACAGCTTCAGCAGCGACAAGACACCCTCTCTGGCCTCATCCGTCACCTTCCAGATGCCCGCCACGGTCCGACCCGCACCTGCCTACATCGCCGCATCCGTGGCTTCACAGACCGTCACCGACCACCACAATGCGCAGCTGCGCGACCAAGACGCCGACACGGACGAGCTGCAAAACGCCATCTTTTCCGAACAGGCACTGGCCCTCCTCAATGCCTTCCTCGACCACCTGCTCTTCGCCTTCCTCTCGTCTGCGCGGTCGCCCGCCCTGGCTGCCATCCGACCCGCCGTGTCCGACGTGCTCAAGCCGCGACTGGCCCGCGACGCCATCGAGGCCGCGGATGAGGAGCTCCAGGGCCTCCTGGCGGGAGAAGACGATGAGGACATGTCCACGGAGCATGCCAAGCAAATGGACAGATGGGACGTGGAGAAGGTATGGAAGCGCACGCGTCTGCGCATCATGGTCTACACGCGCCTGGGCGAGCTCGAGGACGAGGACGAGGAGCGCTATGTGCAGCAGGAGCGCGGTCTGAGCATGGACGAAGACGAGGACGACGAGGCTGGTCTTGTCGCCTGGGCGTCGGCCATCTTCCTCACCTCGGTTGTTGAATACGTCGCTGAGCAGTTGCTGCTTGTCGCAGGCTCGGCTGCCTTTGCGCGCATGGCTGCGAGGATGAAGAAGCTCGCGCAGCAAGCCGACGACCATGCCGAGCAACAGCCCATCGAGCGGCTGGTCATTGAAGAGCCAGACGTAGAGAAGATTGCCCTCAACTCGGCCCTGGGCCGCCTCTGGAGAACGTGGAGGAAACGCGTGCGATCGCCTACTTCGCCCATCTCCCCTGGCCGAGGCGTCCATGCTGCTTCGAGCTACTCGAGCCTACACCACCGCAGAGCCAGTCGCGAGACCATCAACACCTTGCATAGCGAGCACGAGATCCGCGAGCACGAGACGCTGCCTGAGCATCCTCCTACCGAAACCGATATCGCCGCTAATATACCCCTTCCCATGCGCGACAACGATGTCAACGAGATCGAGGTGCCTGGCCTGGCGCCCCCATATGAAGATGAGGGGGAAAGAGAGGGCACGCAGACGCCTGTTCAGCGGCCGATGAGGCCGTCTAGTGTGCTTGTGCTGTCCCAGGGAGGATGGGGGGATGGGGGGAAGAAGGCGAGGCCCATGAGTATGCCGATGCGTCCTGCGGGAACTTTCATGCCATCTACGTACTATGGCTATGAAGAGCCTACGGGGGATGAAGAGGAACCTACGCATGATGGAGAAGAGTCTACACACGATACCAAGCGAGGAATCCCCTCCCAAGTGACCGAGGAAACCACACCACAGACCACACAAGAAACTACACTAGACAACATGTCTCAGCAACGCGATTTGGTAGACGGCCGGGAAGACGAGTCGCCTGAACCCGACGCCTCAATGGTAGCATTCGCAGCAGCTACGGGCATGGGTTTCCGTCGAAGCGCAATCGGACAATCAGCGACGAAGGAACCTGAAACTGAGCCGACCCGTCAGGTCACTGAGAGCGAACCAAAGGTCACACAACCGAAGAGGATGTCAGTAGGACCCTCACAGGAAGCTGATGAGCCTGAGACGCACGAGGTCACTACTGAGAGCCCTCAGGTCATGAGGTCCAAGAGGATGTCCATTGAGCGAGCCGGTAAACCTGGACTAGTCCGTACCTTTTCTACGCGCAGCTCGAGTCTCAAATCACCTGTTGGTACGCCGTTGGCTACACCGAAGGTGACTGGTAATGCTGAGGGACGGAGTTATCTTGACGATGATGAGGACGATGAGGAGCCAGAACATCGAGCTATTGGTGTGGCGAGGACGAGCGATAATGCCATTAGGTCCGCGTCGAATTCCCCTGGAGATTCACCTCACGAAAGGAATAAGAGGCCTGGGAGTGGAGGGTACGTTGAAATGCCGCCGAGAAATTTCACGCCGACGAGCCTCACGTATCGAAATACGCCTTCGCCTGATGGGAAACCTACGGTGCCGGAGCGTGCCATCGAACGCAAACAAGCCAACCGAAGATCACTCAACGGTGCGGAACTCGTGTTGGGCCCAGGGGTGGGTGGGGGAGGTGGAGGTCTCTCACGTCAGTCGCCTGGAGGAGAGGTGGTCGCCCCATACGACAGCCAAGGTCCTACGAGTGCACCCAGGAGACAAGAGGCTCGTTCAGTATCACGTGGTTCGTCGCTGCCAGCTTTGCAAGAAGTCGAGAGCAACACTACCCAGCACCGCGGCAAAACTCCTTCCATCCAGACCAGTCGCAGTGTGCGTACTGCCGACAGCCCCAGGCGTAGCCCTACGTCTGCGACTGACACATCCGAGAAACGACTACATCGCATGTCCGCGGACGATTCGACACGTCCAGCTGATAAGTCGTCCTCGGATAATTCTTCGTTGAAGCGTGGTGCTAGTACCTCTTCTTCTATTCGAAAAGGTGCTTATCCCATTACGTCCAGCGGACGAGACTCGAGCGCCAGCCATCGCTCCAGAGGTCTGAGTGCAAGTGGCTTGAGCGGACGTATGTCTGAGGAAGACCGAGCGCGCGAGTTCGATTCGCTGGTCAAGGGGCAGGACACGGTCAAGTTTACGTTGACGCCTGAAAGTGTACGAACTACTAATGTAAGCCGCCATTCTCTTTCCATCCTACATACACTAACATGCGGTAGGAGTCCCCCGTCTTGAAGAAGACGGAACCACGCAAATCTTCAGCCTCTTCTGCCTCCGTGACAGTCTACCCTCGGACCGACGCCTCTGACAAAAGCTTTGGCACAGCCAACCTGCCCAACACTACAGCACCAAGGGCAAAAGGACCGACCACTGCCTCTTCTCACAAACCCTCACCCAGCCGTAAGGTAGTCACCAGACCTCTCGCTCGAGACCCCAAGATCGAGTCGGAATCCATGCGCGACTTTGCAGACTTTATCCGTTCCACTGGTCCCTCCCCTGGCCAAGAGAAGCCCATCCAGCCCTTTGTCAACATTAGCAATAACGGCCAGAAATCAGGCAACCATTCGACTTCCTCTCTCGGACGCAAGATGTCAACTTCCAGGCAATCTGGTAATGCGAACAATACTCCAGCTACGCGCACGCGACCCAACATGGAACCCCGCTCTCCAGCTGGCCTGTCTACAGGAAACGGTGACTTGATCGATTTTATCAGACAGGGCCCGCCAGACGCAAACCACAAACAACCAAGGATACCGAAGAATATCGCCCCGTTCCGGACGACTGTTGATAGCGACACTTTTGATACTATGCTCGGGGGACATGGAGGCGTGGAGAGTGCTTATGAGTCCAGGGCTGACAGGACCACGGAAAGAAATGTAGCGGAGTCAGCGTATGGCTCTGCGGCTAGTACGCTTGAGAGCAAGGACAGCACGGCGACGATTAATAGCCGGACTGGTCTTATCCCGAGTCCTAGTGTGGTTCAGCCTGCGTATTCGGGAGGGCCGGGGCAACTCAGCGGCAGCATGTCCGGCGGGGGAGATGCAATGGAGGGCATCACCAAGACGAGACGGCGTATCAAGGATCCGTACGCCATTGATTTGAGCGACGAAGACGACGATGAGGACGACGACGAGGACGAAGACCAACTCACGGCGCTGCCTACGCCCACTGGGAACCACCAACCCGAACGACAACTGCTGCAACAACAACCAGCACAAAGACAAGCGGCTCCTCCTCGGCAGAGGGAGGAGAGCCTAATGGACTTTTTAAACGGCATGGATCCCCCTGGAGGCGCGTCGTCGGCTAAACCCCAGCCTTTCCTGCTTAGTGAAGAGACTATTGCTGCGGCGAGGGCGAGGGCGGCTGCAGGCCAAAATGGTTCCAATCCCTCGTCTTCTAACTTGCCTGCTTCTCGCAATGGTAATGGTACTGCACCATCTCCTTCAACGAATAAACCTAGGCTGCAAGCCCGTGCCCCTGCTGTTGTGGGAGATGCAAGGACGGGTATGGGCGCTATGGGTGGCGGTGGCAGTAGGACTGCGACGTCTGACTTAGCGGATTTCTTGAAGAATTCGGGCCCGCCTGAGCCCGTGGTGCAAACGAGGAGGGAAGAGGTGCCGGAGAAGAAGAAGAGGTTTTGGCAGAGGGGGAAGAGTAGTGGGAAGACTTATGGGGATTTGCCGTAGTTGTGTTTTGTCGTCCCGCCCCGCCCCGCCCCCTCCCCCCGCTTGGTCTTGTTGGGGTGGTGGGAGATGAGAAAGGGAAGAGGGGGAGAGACGCAGATGGAAGGATGGGACGGTTAGGGGGGTTGGGTGGTTCTTTATCTTTCTTGGATACCCGGGTTTTGGTTTTTTTCTTTTTTGGATATACGGTTTAGGGGTGTTGGTTGTGTGTTATAGGTTCATGTTTGGTGGGCCCCGAAGGCTTATAGGAACTTTTAATGAATCATGTTGTTTTTGATTATGGATGAGAATTGAAGTTTGGTGTGTGAATTATGGTGTGTGTGCGTGTGGGGTGACAAGGTAAATGCTTACTTGTATGAATGAGAAGCTAGACTCTTTTTCTTTTGAACTTGTTACTTTGTCGTACGGGTAGGTGCGGATATCGTAGACAGGACAGTTGGGAGAGTACACGTTGCGCTGTTTGTAGCATTCTGGCTCAGCTTATGCGGGGAGGTTATCGTTACGGCGTTAACGTAAAGCCATGCGGTGTATTTCGGGGGAATTTGTAGTCGTGCCGGACGCATTTTACATTGATTGCGCCTGCTTACCCCAAGTATCCGCGAGCGACACACCACGTCGGCTAATCCAAATGGGGAAAAAATGTCATCGAGCAAGACTCGAATAACAGTAAACTTGGACAAGAGCACGGGACGTGATACTTTGCGCTTCAAGTACAAAAGGGTGCCTCGTCTGCCCGTCTCAAATACTCACCTCTCGTTGAGTTTATCTTACCAACAGCAAGTCTTCTTCTGGCAACCTCTCTCTCTCTCTCTCTCGATCACACCTCTGCATCGTTACTTCATTATGCGAATCGTGAGCCCTTGGGAAGCGGTCTCCCACCTCGGCAGCATCCTGCTCGTCGCCAGCACTGTCTCTGCGTTGGCAGCAACGGCCAACTCAGTCGACACTTACGACTATGTGGTAGTCGGCTCCGGACCGGGAGGAGGCCCACTGGCCGCCAATCTCGCACGCTCTGGATTCAAGACTCTCTTGCTCGAAGCCGGTGACGACGACAGTGCTGCCATGATTACAAACGCTATTGCGTTGACAAACACGGCAGATACTACGGCCCTCACTTGGACGTATTGGGTTCGTCATTACGACGATGTCGAGTTGACGAAAAGGTACCGCCATCTTACTTGGAGGCTGCCAGATGGAAAGTTGTGGGTTGGTCCGGGCAGCGAGGCGCCTGCAGGAGCGGAGATTGTTGGTATCCAGTATCCTCGCGGCGCTACACTTGGAGGATCGTCCATTGTTAATTCTGCCCTGACTGTCCTTCCTGCCGATAGCGATTGGGACTATATCAAGAACCTTACCGGAGATGAGTCATGGAAGTACGGTATCCCCGATCCTGTTTTTTATCATTTCCATTCTTTGCTCTTCAGAGGACACGGATAAGCTAACGAACAAAACCGTAGTGCTACCCACATGGGGGAATTGTTCATCAAGTTGGAAAAGAATCAATACCGCCCACGTGGTACACCAGGCCACGGCTTCGATGGGTATCTTGAAACGATTTTGGGCAACGGAACCGTTTTTCTCTCTTCACCCCAAGCAACTGCAATTCTCAAGGCCATGGCTGCCGAGGCGGGCCAAGATCCAGAGGACCTGGAAGAGATCCTAAATATTGACCCTAATCAAATCTTGAATCCCGACCGAGACCAGATTACAGGGCTTACGGGATTGCCCCAACACGCCAATGCCACCTGGGCCCGCTACAGCTCCAGGAACCGAGTCCTCGATACCTTGCGCGCCGTGGACGAGAAAGGCGACAAGAAATACCCCCTCGAGGTCCGCCTCAACTCCTACGCTACGAAAGTCCTGTTCGACAAGCCTCAAGAAGGCTCATTGCCTCGCGCCATTGGCGTCCAATACCTGCAAGGCAAAAGCGCTTTTCAGGGCGACCTCCGCTATAATCCGGCAGCCAAGAAGCCCTCACGCCGGGTTCTTGCTCGAAAAGAAGTCATTCTCAGTGGTGGATCTTTTGGTACACCTCAGCTGCTGTTACTCAGCGGTATTGGACCGGCAGCAGACCTGCAAGCCCTGAACATTCCCGTCATCGCCGACCGACCAGGTGTCGGCCGCAACATGCAAGACCACAACGAAATCGCCGTCATCGGCCACGGCGCCCAGACATTCGATTACTCCGCTGCTCCTGGCGGTCCTCGCTCGCAATGCACCTACGGGGCTCCAAGCGGCGACCCCTGTCTTGCACTTTACCTCCGCGGCCAGGGCCCCTACGTCCAGCCCAGTCTGACCCAACTCGCCTTCCTCAAAACCAACCACACCACAAACGACGAGCGCGACATTGCCATCTTCCCCGGTTCCTTTGGCTTTCGCGGCTTCTGGCCCCGCAACACGGGACAGTCGTGGGATGACCCCCCAACGACCTGGGGCATGCACAGCGTCCATATTCACGGCAATAGCACGGCTGGCTACCTCAAACTGCGCTCGGCTGATCCGACCGTGACGCCTGAAATCAACTTTCGACACTTCAATGGTACAGGCGCTGCGGGCGACATTGCTGCTATCAAGGAGTTCCTCGCTTGGGGTCGTCGTGCGTTTAACCGCGTACAAGCACCTTTTGCGCCTTACAATGTCTCTTGGCCGCCTTGCGCAGGCACGGTCGGTGCCGACGGAAGCTGCTCCATCGCCGGCAGTGACGAAGACTTTATCCGCGAGAATATCTTTGGGCACCACGTTATCGGTACGTGTTCCATTGGTCCCGGCTCTGATGTGAATGCAGTCTTGGATTCAAAGTTTCGTGTCCGTGGTGTTTCTGGCTTGCGGGTCGTCGATGCTAGTGCGTTTCCGAGGTCTCCTGGAGCTTTTCCGGTTGCTGGTGTCTATATTCTGAGCGAGAAGGCGTCGGAGAGTATTCTAGAGGGCCGGTAGTAGCTGTGTGCGGTGTCTTTTTGTCGGGCCTGGTTGCTGCTCGTTAGCTACGGTGAGGACCCGGCGTACAAAGGCCTTCTCGGGTCTGACGCAAGGTAATCCCTAGTATGTAGTCTGTGGACTAGCTATTGTAGCTTGATGCTAGTTGGTCTTGAGTGTTTTTTCTAAACGTGGGTTGTGGTTGCTCACTTTTGTACATACCACGTTGTTGGATAAGTTGAGCAAGCACTCGAAACATTGATGTTACCACACGAACCACCTTACTCAGCTAGCGTAGCACGTGATCTTGCTGAGGTCGTTAGTTTGATCCATAACACAAGTATATGGGCAACGTAGTCCCGAGTTGTGATGATATCAATAAGATTTTCTGTAGCTCTACAGCTTTCCATCTCCAGGTAGCTGTCGTGCTGCTGTCTAAGCATCGAATGAACGCGGGCATCAAACGCACGGACACGGAAGCTCAGTCGAACTTAACTCGCAGCGCGCCTCATCCGCTGCGATACTACTTTTTACTCGGCGGACAGTACAAGTCTATTGCCTGAAGCACGCTCTCACAAACTCCTAACACATGCTTCAAAATTGACAAAAGATTTGCGCGCTCTCACTCTCTCACAGCCATGCTGAGCCTAGTTTGAAGCTCCCTCATAACCTTGTTAGCTAACCACGGAATACCTTTCGTTGCATCTTCCTCTTGTCCGCACGTCTCAGGCGTTTACTGCCCTTTTGCCTAGTTAGGTAGCGTTACATGGAATTTGTATTTGACGCAGCTGTGTCATCGAGGTGGCAGTCTACACATTACCAATCGTCATCATCAGAGCTGTCTGTCGATGTCGTCATCCCGCCGCTGCACGCGTTACCGAAAGCGGAAAGGCACGATGCCATCCAAGAATCAAGAACCTGGGTCACCTGCGTAAGCTGACATGTCGCTGAATAACTGTTTTTGACGTTGTGGCTACACACACGCCTGGAATGCGAAAGCCATTCGCAATGGACATGACGCGCCATAGACCTGGCGTTCTTGCAGCTGGTTTGGGGGTTTTTTTTAATGTCGGCTGGGCTGAGATGTTGAGATGCTTTCGATTCGTATCCATGGCTGTGGATTACGTTAACTCATAAACAACGGCCGTTGCCTGGCTTAGGAATGTTGACATATCGAGATGCGCGGCGAAGTTGAATGGGTGATTTGATCATTCTTTGTTAAACATGGCAAAATATACTTACGTGCTGGCAAGCATCCATCCATTCGCCCTAGGTACCATTCATCCCTGTCACGACGGGCGCTAGTACTGTATCGGCCGCTCGTTTGCTAGCACAGACAGGCTTGTTACTTGGAGTAATGGGACCAAATACCATCTTGCCATACATGTTCCCGATCCGTGAACCACGCGGCGTTCTGTAGACTCGCTAAAATCATGCAGGTATTCTTTTCTTTTCCTTGCTTCTTCCAAGGTTCTTTTCGCAGTATTGAGGAAGAGTAAGACATGTCTAATCAACTTTTACCCCAGAACTATGGCAGAGAAGGAGGCGAGGATCAAGGCAAGAGAGCCGAGATACTATCGGTTGGTCAGCTAGAGGTAATGAGAAACAAGCAAGAGAAGTGCTGGTAGGATGTTGTGGTTACATGCTGATTACGAGCACGCTGTATGGGAAGGCGACAATGATTTGCAATGTGCGCCGCTGGGTAGTGTGGTAGCAGATGGCGAGACGTTTGGTATTGTGCGGTGCGATATGGGATGATATAAGAGCAAGAGTTGTATAATGTCAAGGGTGGGCAAAAGATTAATGCCATTGTAACTCGGGCGGTGAATAACAAGAAGACATCTTGTAGTTCAGGACATTCTCTTATTCAAGTCGTCAAAGCGTTATACATAACTAAACATACCGCTATTCGTCTTGATAAACCGTCACGTCCAAGTCATGTCTACCGCTCCTGTCCTTTATATCGGTAAGTCGACTTTTCATCCCTCCCTGAACCCCCATCGCTCTCTCCCTTCTTCCCCGCCTCTTCCCCGCGTCTCTCCGGCCATGACGACTTGCTGACGGTATCAGTATGCTGCACCGAATCTACCTCCGGCACTGTTCTTGATCCAGCCCGGTACATGAACACGACCAACCCACATACCACAATCCTCAAAACAGATGGTGCACGTGCAACAGCCGGAGACCAAACCATCAGTCGCATCTACTATGCCGACCAAGCAAAGCCGCTGGGTATGATTGTTGTATTGGGACACGCCGGTACGTAGGTCCGTATTCGTGTATGCTAACGACAAAACCTTGGAGCAAGACCGCAACACGTTTTGTGTAGCACAAGCGAAAGTGAATGCGAATACACGAATTCCAAGCTGACTTTTCTCTACCAAAAGGTTGTACATTGGCACCTGGAGACGTCGAGGGCACAATTGGATCTAGTGTCCAAGCCCTGAGAGCAAGCCATCACGTACGCAATGCCATACCTACCATGGGCTACGTACTTGATCTGTACGCCAGTGCTCCAGGTGGACCAGCCACGGGCGCCAATATGAGAGAGGTTCAGTATGTTTTGAAACTCTCATGTCCCATCTTCTGCTGCGCGTTGTTGTTGTGCAACAAACCCAATGTAGGAACGTAGGGCTGACAAGACGTGCAGCATACCGAACGCCTCTGCTCCAGCATCATCGGCATCGACACAGCAACAGAGTTCGAGTCAGCAACAGCAACAGGGTATGGGTCCGTTTTGGAGTTGAATGGGTGTCTCGGACGACCAGGCTCTTTCTCTGTTATCATTCTTCTTTCATATTTTCCTCATGCATGTCCCTCTTTGATGTGTCTCTTTCTTTAAGGTAGAGCTGAACCGTGTCAACCAGGAAGACGCATGAACAATGAATAGTAATAGAAAACCAGGGGGTGTGGTGTCGATATTACTATTCACAATGACCGACATACACTACTAGCGCAGCGTCCCTGGTCGTGTCTCGGCACTTCGCTCACGTTACCATCTAGTCCCTATAACCGATCTGTGCCTCATGCCCTCGCCCTAGATTCTGCCTCTGTCTGCATGGCCTCTTCTCCCGTGCTGAGAGTGGAAGCCGTGCGCTCTGCTGCAGTGTACTGTGGTGGCGGTTGTTCACCCACCGTCTCTCGCCGAACAGTCTCGTCCATCTGTAGAGTCTGAAGAGATATCGCAACCACTGCCTCTGTCTCTTCTACTTTGGGCTGGTAGGGTGGTGGCGCTTCTCCGTTCTCGTTCAGCCCGTCCTCGACATGTACATCGACATTGGGCACATGCTCGTTCAGACCCTCAGGTTGCCTTGCAATAACAGAATCATTAATCCCATATGTCCCACGCACGAGACTGCGAATGCGAGGCCATCCTTCGACATACCTCGCTTCTGTCTGCTGATAGTTCTGACGCTGTGTGGCTCTGTGTCGGTATATGTGAAAGCAGACTAGAGCGACGAGTGTAACGGGTACACCGAGGAAGAGGAGGTAGTAGTTGAATGAAATGTGCTCGATGGAGGGGGCGTCTTCGCCGCTGGGGACGGTTGGTGATATGCTTGTTGAAGACGGCGTTTCGATGGGCACATTGAGGTAAGCCATTGTCACAGGTGATTAGACTACAGCGAGTGTAGTAGAGGTCTCTGGTGAGGATAACGATGCATTCGTAGGAGTGCTACGGTAGTGATGCGCACACGATACTGCGAGGGTGGTGATTAGGGCATTGGCAAGGCGATTCGAGAAGGGCCAGACAAGATGGGCGTTGTAAATATTGACCGCAAGGAACCTGCCATTCTTGCACATCTTGCAGGGCAAGTGCCCAAGAGCTGTTTGCCTCAAGTCGCGCCTGCTATAATGTACATTGGGTTGGAGCACGAGGCCTGCGATTGAAGCTTCAAAAGCATTTTGAACGATGACAGTGACTGTGGATAATCTGAGTACAGTCCTGTTACTCGAGACAAATATGAAATGCCGAGATGTCGAAGTGGTGATTACTCTTCCTTGAAGGATAGCGGAGGCATCGGGACCTAGCGTGCTTACGGCACAATTCCGCCAAGCAATCGCGTCAGCGAGGTCGCACCCTGTTGTCCAACCCTCCTCTACCTATCCACCAACACCCCGCAGACATTCTGTCAGAGACTCCGAGATGGTCAAAGCAATCAGAGGTACATTCCCTGCTTCCGTCCCCCCTCCACCATGTTGACCATCGCAGGCACGCTCGTCAAGTGCGACGCATCCATCAAAGCCATGCTGGTCGACATTGACAGCAAGAACAACAACGAATATATCATCGAAGAACTCGACGAGGAGCACATACTAGTCAAGGAAACGCGTATCAACGAGCTCAAAGCGCGTCTGAATCAGGTGCGCTTCACAAACATGCCACGACATCACGGCTCAACGCTGACACAAATCACACCACAGATGATGAGGGAGCGCCTGAAGGAGCCAGAGAGTTCAGACTCCGAGTAGAAGTTTGAGCAACCCACTTGATTGCAAGTCTCGTTGCGAGCAACTCTAATGCCGACTACCGTTCTCCGTCCTCTCTTGCTTACGAGCACCCGAATCGAACCGTTTACATGGCCGATTTCTGCGCCGCGCCTTCTTGCGTGCCGACCCACTTCGGCCTGTGGTCTACAAACAACTCGGCGTCCATCTTAAGGTTGTCGAGGATCTTGGTGTCGTCTAGGGTTCCCACCTTTACACACGTTAGCAAAGGCCGGGCGGATACCACCCGGCTTGGGACAAGCATACCTTGACGATGCGTTTGCCGGCAAACGAGGGACCCTGACGCCACATGGTCGAGCCACAGTCGCCGCTGCACAAAATTGGTCAGGACATTTGTTCGCTACATTGCCATTACGATAGCGAATGAGGATTTCTACATACCAGAAGTTGGAAGTGATCTCATTTCCACTGTCGCCCTTGACTGTGTGTTGCTTTGGCGTTCCCTTGGTGACCTTGAAGCCATCTTCTGGGTAGACGGCGTTGGTGCTGTAAGCCGAACCGGTGATTTTGCGGCAGTCGAGACAGTGGCATAAGATACTGCCTCCACTTTCACCGGACACCTCATAGCGGACCGCGCCGCAGTAGCATCCTCCAGAGGCCATTTTGGTAGAGATTGTCGTGGGTTCAGAGTGGAAAGAGAAGTTATTAGAGTTGTCTAGTTGCTGGGGCTGAGAGGACAAGAGTTGTGTTTGAATGTTAGGGTGTTGGCGACATGTACACCTCGGGCTTTATACACGACTGTCTACCCCGCTGTATGCGATCGCCAACTCGCCAGCTTGGTTGACGTGTAGCGCCCTACGGCATCCCACTCGGCAGGGTCTCCACCACTACTACTCTAGTGCCGAGGCCTTACCTCAGCGACGGCATCCCGCCGACGCATCACGGATAGAGGGAAGCTATCCGCTTACGCAGGATACATGGACTTACCGGCACAGGCAATCCGTTCTGGGTCGGAATTTGGCACTACACTTGGAAAACAGAGGGGAAATTCCAAATCAAAGCATTTGCTGCGGACCGAATAAGCAGTAAACCAAGCATATCGCATGATTTGCGCCTGGTGAGCCAGTGTCGTGCAGTACAAGAATCGATCAAGCTTTGAAATCTGCGCCCAGAACTATCGTCGTGATGCATTTCTTCAGTCTGTCTAAAGCGCATACTCGACTTGTCGCACGACCATGACGCGCAGCCACACCTACCTGGGTGAGTTTTGCGGAGCGGGGTTTTCCCAATCCGGCTACCGCATAGCGCAGCACGTGAACTCGGGACAATTTGGTGTTTGCGCGCGCGCGCACCTTGTCCCTCACCCATGCGCGCCAACTATGTGATGGAATGTGCTGTCGCGCTTCGATTACCACTGGGCATTGATGAGTGCAGCTTGCCGTCTATCTAAATCTACGTACACAGCGCATCCCAACACAATCATGGCGAACAACAGCGCCGCACCAAACGTCTGGACGCAGATGAACTACGTCCCTCCCCGCGGACAATGTAATCATAAGCCTTCTCTCCTCGCGGCCAAATGTCCGTGTTTGAGGTTCATGTTGCATCCGCTCAAGGTGAGTCATGAAATCGTCTCTTGCCACGCCTGAGGGCACATGCCGCCAGCACACATAGCTAATAGTCATGTTACGCTATAGTCATCATCGTCGTATGAATGCGATGGCTGCGGACACCACGCATCTTTCCACACAATGGAGAATAAAGTCGAAGACGAAATAAGGAAGCGGTGGGAGGTTGAAGCGGCGGAGCGGAGAAAGGAAGAAGAGGAGGGTGGGAAGCAGAGGCCAAAGAAGAGGGTGAGGGCTATCGAATATACCAACGACGATGGCGAGTTTGTGCTCGGGTCGAAGAAGAAGACAACGGGGAGGGCTGCGGCTACTCGGGCGAAGAGCAGGATCATTGAGATTGGGGAGGAAGATGGGGTTGTGGAGTTGGATTGAAAGACGCTATGATACCCCCTGCGACACTGTTTGCATTCTGTTCAATACAATTACATGAGGAAGCTTCAAGTTGTGGTGCCGCCGAAGACGGGCGCGGGTGTCTCGACTTGCTTGCGACGCCAAGACTAACAACCATGGGTGCGCTTCCTCTGTGGTGAACCCTTGCTCTACTTTTCCACCAACGCAACATGATAGCATAACGTCCACGGCCCGCCAGACCCTTTGAGGGTTCTTTAATGTATAAATAATACACACAACTACAGATAATACTCACGACCCATCGCCCACCATGGCAACCCCAACCCCCAAAGACAAGGAAACGCCCTCGAAAAACCTCAACGCCTTTTCCTCGCCCGCCCCGCGCAGTGTACCTCCCTCGGGCAACGTGAACATGATGTCGTACGATTCGCCCGCGGTGCTGAACATGCTCAACGACGTGGCCAGCTCAGGCATGGGCGGCGTCGGCATGGGCATCACCATGAGCGGGCTCGGCATGTCCAGCTTAGGCATGAGCGCGAGCGCCATGGGTCGCGCCGACGAGGCAGAACGAAGCCGGCGTCTACGCGCCATCATCGACCTCGTTGGCAAGAAGCCTGGCAGGGTCAGTGAGGAGGGTCTGCTGCAGCTGTGCAAGAGGATGGGCATACCGTGCGAGAAACACATGGACGAGGCAGGCACCTGGAGTCTGCTCATTGGCGACGAAGCCCTCTGTGACGTGACGTTCTACAACGACGAGATTGCGAGCGTCAATCTGCAAACCGGCCTGGACGAATCGAGACCCGATCTCCATTTCGGCACAACGGGGTCTGAGATACTCGTCCGGAGCTTGAAACCCCTGCCGGGCCAGAGCAAACTCAACGTCACGCTCGAGCGCTTCTCAGAGAGTCTAGAGAAGCTGCTTACGCTGGATAAATTGGGGTCAGCGCAGAACGGAGGGGTTAGCTGCTACAATGCGATTGCGGGGGTTTATACAAGTTTACGCAAGCTGTTTGAACACGAGAAAAAGGCGGAGCTCGCAAAAAGGACGCCCGACGAGCGCTTCAGGACACACAAAGCTGAGCGCGAGGTGCTGTGCAAGAAGAGCGGCCGCCCCAGACTCAACGGCGGATCTTGTCTGGGCTTGAGCCTCGAGTACTGGATGGACGGTCGAATGCAAATCGACCCGCCCGTGGAATCTGCAGCCTACCCCGAAGATGCAGACAAGAGCCACAACAAAATGTACTCCCTGACTATCGAGTGCGAAGCTTCGCCTTCGACTCTGTATACGCCCATCCGCATATCCGACGACTGGATCAGCGACCGCATCGACAAACCCACCGATACGCACGACGCGAACGCCACTCTAGATAACATACTCATGCACGCTTCGTCCTCTTCATCCCTAGACTGGCTCGACCCAAAACCAACGTACCTCGAACCAGCCCCCGAGCAAACTGCCGACCACGACGACCACGACGCAATGAACCTCGACTCGGCAGCGGGCCGCCTTCCCAACGTCCGCTTCGTCGCAAAGTTTAACCCCCCACTTGTCGTCCCTTTTGCCGTCCACATGCAGCTCTACCAGCTCGTCGGCATCGAGCCGCGCACTGACGACTTCCGTCCCGAGACTTTTGCAGGCCTGGCGCTCAGGCCTGGCGAGCTTGATCCGGGCATGTCTGGCACGACGGGTGATGTGACGCATGAGATTCGCAGTAGCCGACTTGTCTTGGTTCGGGATGATGGTGAGGAGGGACGGGAAAAGGATAGACGACATGATATGAGCCTCTTCATACCGAAGCTCGAGTATAGTCGCAAGTTGGAAAGCTTGCCTTTTAGCCATCCGAAACAGTTGGTGGAGATTTTGCCCGTGTTGAGACAGTATGCGCATATTACGAGTTTGCTTAAGACTTGTTTCTACGAAGCGATGGAGAAGAAGAAGAAGAAGAAGCAAGTGCCGACGCATAAATTGGGCCAGCATGAGCTCACACCACCACCCTTGCACAAGACAGATTTGCCGGGGTTGCAACTCGACGTCAATCTGAGTTATGCGCCGCCTGTGCCCCGGTTCACGCTGCATGTTCCTCATCCTTGTTCTGCTGTGGCGAAGGCGGCATGTTCATCTGAAAAGGAGAAGAAGAAGAAGAAGGGTAAAGACGCAGATGATGCTGCGATGATAGCGGACCTCTTGTCTCATCTCGATGAACCTACTACCTCTTCTTCATCTTCTTCTTCTCCGCCTCCTGCATACCACGCTCCCCTCGCGCTAGCAATCGATGTCCAGTCCAATGGCGAGTTGGTCCTTAGTGAACAGAATGTTGTTCTTGAGGAGGAAGATGACAAGGTGAAGAGGTTGGCGCGCGCACTGGATGTTGTTGATGATTTGGGCGTGTGGGCTGAGTGGTTGAGGTTGGAGGTTGGTAAGGAGGAGGAGAGGAAGAAGAGCGTTTAGGTGGCGTTTTTGAGGAAGCATGCGCCGTGGTTTTTGGGGGAGTTGGGGGAGTGATGGGGATGGGGGTGGGGGTTGTTAGGGGCATTGTGATTACGGCATTGTTCAAAAGAGGTTTGAGGTAGAGGGCTTATTGGTTATTGTGATTCAATGGGTGGAGATGAGCGATAGAAGTCGACGAGTCTCGCACCAAGGGCAATTCATGTCTTGCTCCTCTTGTTCTGTTTAGTCGTGGTAAAGATGCTCACTCTGGTTTTAATGGCTCTTGCAACGAGTGGAGTGGACTTACGGGACCGTAAATCTGCAACACGCATACGTGACTGGCCCTGCATCTCGTAAACTTGAGCTTCCTCGTCGGCACTCTTGCAGCTTTCAAGCAAGGACATGATAAAGGTATGACTAGCTGCGAGAACCTTGGCGGCAAGACGTAGAACAATGGGATAATTGCAAGTGACGTAGAAAAACAGAAGCATATGTATCACTGCAGTTCAATAAAGTTTCAACTCAAAATATAGTCAACGAAAGTGTGGTGTATTACATGGTACACTAAAACTCAAAATCTCCTACTCCCTCCAAACCGAAAGAGATTTCCAAGCCCCCCAAGGATGGAAGGCGCGCGACTGACAGTCGGGAGACTAAACGGGTTGAGAATGTTGAAAGCGTTTCTGGCCTTGATCAAATCGGCCGCCTTTTCCGCAACCGCGTACATGGTGGCTTGCAAGTGGGTAGCCGGAATCAAAGGAATGATACTAGCGTCTACGATACTAAGGCCCTTGACCCCATACACAGCGAGATCACTACCAACACAACCCCCATAAGCCTCGGGCATCATGGCACAGCTACCCGACATGTGTGCAAAAGACGCCTGCAGCGCCTTCTGATTGACAAGATCATCGATAATCTCGTCGTCAGTCTGTGCCTGCGACCCCGGTGTGAGTTCGACGGGAGAAAACTTGTTCAGCTCTGGATTCGCCCAGTGCCTGCGCGTCCAGCGCACCATTTCCACAATGATCTGGCGGTCGACGGGGTTCTGCAGCGAGTTGAATTGGACGACGGGGTTGCCGTATTTGTTGCTGGGATCGAGTGTGACGGTGCCGCGGGACAGGGGGCGTTGCAGCGAGCTGATGGCGAGACCAAAGGGGACCATGGGGAACTCGCCGACGGCGGCATCGGCGCTGCCGTGTAGATTGGCGATGAGGTCGCGTTGCTTGGTGAAGCCGCGGAGCAGAGAAGCGTCGTCGTAGACGGAGGGGAGGTAGCTGCGCGCATTTTGCGACTTTACGCTTGCAACAATGGAAGACCACTTGTCGGAGACGGTCTGTAGGCTGAGGAACGCTAAGCTGCTACCGTGCGCTTGGGTGAGAGGGCCGTTCCTACTCGTGTCGTACTCTGACCATACCGTGGCGTTGTATGTGGGGTTTGCTCCGCTGTAGATGCTTGGGAAGGAAAGATTCTGGAGGTCGAAGACCATGTTGGCGTTTGGGTGGTCTTGCATGTTTGCGCCGACGGCGGGCATGTCTTTCTTGACGGTGATGCCGGCAGCTTGGAGCACGTTTCTGGGACCAAGGCCGCTGAGTTGGAGTAGCTGGGGTGTGAAGATTGAGCCGGCAGCCATGATGACTTCGCGTTTTGCGTAGACTTGCTTGACCGAGCCATCTGAACGAGATTTGTACTGAACGCCGTTTGCCGTGTATCCTGTAAGCAGGCCTTTGTTGAACAGAATCTCGTTGACCGTCTGGCCGGTGATGAGAACGAGGTTCCTGCGGGTCTTGATTGGATCGTAGTATTCGTTCTTCGCGTGAGATCGGGTTTGCGTCTTGGGCCGCAGGGCAGTGGGTATCCAGAAAGCGCCCACCGCATTTCCAGAGGCATGTTCCTTTGGCAAGGGTACACCTTCACGCTTGTATGCTGCCCAAATGGTCTTCGTATCTTGGTACTCAAAGTTGGGGAAGGATGCTTGGATCGGACCGTTTGTACCATAGTAGGAGGCGTCATAGGTAGTGCCGAATTCTTTGACATTGGATGCCGTGGGTGGTGTAAAGGTGGTCGACTTCTTGAAGTAATATAACAAATTGTTGAAGTTCCAGCCACTGTTACCAAGTTGCTCCCAGGCATTATAGTCGGCGGCGGATGCTCGGTCAAAGGCCATACCGTTGACCACGGACCCACCCCCAACGACATTGCCTACCCAGACAGGGTGTGTGCCGCCTGTGTTAGTATCGTATGCCGACGTGATGTCGTACATTAGAGCCGAATTGATGCTGTTTGCAAAGCTAGGTACTTGTGTGGTTACATCGTCGACCATGAACCCATTCTCGATTACAAGCACGGTGCCTGACAGTGTTAGACTGTGCATCACATATGCGATTCCTGTACTTACGGCTCGAGTCTTCACTCAGGCGGTTAGCAACTGTTAGGCCAGTCAAACCGCCACCAACAACAATGTAATCGAAAGACTGTCCTCCAACATCTTGCTCGCCACTGTTACTACCTGGAGCGGATGGATCCAATATCCGTGGCACGAAAGACGCCAGGTAGAAGATGCCTGAAAGAAGGAGAGACATGTTAGAAATTATGGACAGAACGAGTGTATGAGCACCAAATGAATGGCGCAAGGGTGAGGGTCCAGGAAAGTGACGAAATGAAAGACTAAGGTTCGTCCAAGGTTTATACCTTCCTCGGAGCTCACGCAGTTCGCGGTCGGGCCACCCCTGAGTACGCGAAGCTATTAAAGCCTCTTCGCTTGCAAAGACCCGTTCTTCGGCAGAGCATAACACTCAAATGCTACCCGCTAGCCGTTGTATGCTTATAATGTCCTTTCCCAGTAAGCAATGCTCAAAGCTACCAGATCCTGTAGTGCTCGATATAGCCTGTTGCCCGGATTCTGGGTCGATGCCGCACGGAAACAAAAGCTGAGATCCGCAAACCTTGGTGGAAAGCATATTTTGGTAGTTGACCGATAGCGGCATGGCTTATGATCCTGTCACAAAGAACGCTTATCGACAGCCCTAGAGCTGCGGGCAGCGACATCAAGGCAGCATGGCTGCTGTGGCGCCGACTATCAGCCCCCGTTTGCAAAACCCACGTGCGTGATCGTGTGACGTGCGCCACGCGACTGTAATTGTGAGGAAGTTTCACCCTGCATGGTGCACTGCTTTATCGTGTGGTCCACATGGTAGAGAGGGCGAGACCGACGGTGTTGTGCTGGCGAAGCAACCACGGGAATGCAGGGGCCACGGCTGTCAAGCTGAACGAGCCGTGCTTCGGTAAAAATCTCCAACGTCGTCACCTTCCTCTCGCGCTCGGCCAAGTTGTCGTTAGATCGATATTTGACTTTGGTGTACGAGTGTTTAGGTTTGCAGCAGAGGGTCAATTATCTAGATTATCGATGGCGCACGGAGGTGGCCTGAACGAGTATAGCTCGTCTCTCCACCTGAACCCTAGCCTGACGACGGTTCAAAGCTGCCAACTTCTTTGACCTCCTTTGCACAGCAACCGTCGCGTAGCACCCTGCTCAATTGCGAAACTACTAGAATCATTGCGGTACCGAAGAGCGAGTAACAGAGCCGGCGCCTGTTATACCCGCTCGGCCCGCCTCTTGGATATTGTTAACATCTTGTCCAGGGGAATCTGCCTATCGAATTTTGTGATTCAGAAAGATCTTGTGAGGAGTACATTCTGCCCTGAAACATGGTAGATCTCAGCATATATTGCGTGCTGATTGACTGCGCCGCGGTGGCTATGGACGGAAGCCACAATACGCGACAAGACCGTTTCGAAGCTGAGGGCTAGATATTCACGCCGGCCTAGGCCAAAACCTCGTGCAACGGCGCGAACCACAACGCTTTAGTCTGTCCCACGACGGCTTACCGAGTGACAGATGTCGTGCTTCTCGCTTTGGCCATAACTTACGATAGGTTTAATACCGGCAATCTGGATTAGTGGTAATGCGATAGTTTGGTTGGGTTCGTTTCTAGAATGCCAGGTCGCAAGTGGCTATGGCAACTGTCCCGATCGTCGACGTATGGTTTCCAAGCCCCGGGAAACAGGAAAGTGAACTTGTTTGATCTACAGAGCCTTGCGGCTCGGCAGCTTACTGCAAGATGATCACTGGCGATCTGGACCATGGTGCCTTAGCAGGAACGTATCCTGACTAACGGCCTACCGCTATATGTGCGCTCGTGCGCAGCGCACTGTCGTGTGGATAAGCTTTAGACGCCTCCTGCATGCCTCGTCGCGTTTTGCGGGATTGGCTGAGTTTGACATCGGTCGGCCACTCCGCTGTATCTGGCTGGCCATCCGGAGGATATTAACAGAGCAAATATAACAGCACGTCCACCCGTCCCGTACTGTATACAAGAACCTGCATAACATTACAACGTGGGAGATCTGCAGGAGCTCAGTCCGAGGAGTACACCCCGCCCATTCCTCTCCATTGGACTCTTCGCCTTTCCTTGCCTCGTTCTTTTGCATTCTCGCACCCGCCATGGGTGTACCAACAACCCCGGAAGGACTTCCTTTGGACGATCGGTCCAATGCGCTCAAGATACCTATCATCACATTGATCATATTCAGCTCGGTATTCGTCTTGCTCCGCTTGGGCATTAATTGGAGGAATAGAAACTTCTTCCTACTGACAGACCATCTATTATGGACGGGTCAGGTAAGGCAGTAATCAAGCAAGGGTACTGGATAGTATACTAAACGATCTTCAGGTCATAGCCGTAGCCGGTGCGGCATGCTGCTACAGGATGGCAGAAGTCGGGGGCGGTAGGCATATCTGGGATCCCATGTTGACGCCTCGGAACCTGGAAACATATCTTTACTACCTATGGCTGGGTCAATTGCTCAATCTGTACGGAATGGCCTTGGTCAAGCTGAGTGTTTGCGCCTACATCTTCATGTTGGACTTTTCGAGAATATTTCGGATCATCATCTGGGCTTCGGTCGTGATCCATGTCCTCGTCAACGTTGTCTTTCCTACAGTCATTCTTTTCGGCGAA